TTTGGGACTGCTTAGATATTTGGTAAAGGTATGGTAATGACCCTAGGTGAAAATGAACTTAAAATCCTCTAGATTGTTCATTCATAACATTCAGTATATGTGGCCTATGTCAGAGCAAATATACCAAATTATTTTTTCAAAGTATTAAAAGTCATTCTGGAGGAAAAAAAAATAACTGCATGATTGCCTTGGAAATACCCAAAGTGGGTTTTAGGAGAAGAAAAGTATTTTCCTTCTCTTTTACACAACAAGTGAATTCCAGAGAAATAGTCTGTCAGCACAAATATACTTAATGAAGATTGCTATAATAACTTGAATGCTCTTTCCCTGTTTATCACAGCTATGAGGATTCAAATTTAACATACTATTGTTCAGTACAGTATGTATTTCTCCTTGGTTGAAGTCTTTATACGCAGATTGTCAAATTTTTAAAAACCTCAAAACACAAAATAATCCCCAAAATAAAGATCCAGCCCTCCAAAAAACAAATAGTGTGAAGGAAACCTGATCCCAGTACTGAAAGGGAGCTGATATCTCCATCCTCAGGCTACCATCACACAGAGTCTGACTGTTGACTTAATTAAGGTGACCTCTGTCACCTGCAACAAAATTTCCAAGCAAAGAGCTGAATCAGCCGATGAATTAGCACAAATGCTCAGATCACTGTGGCTGGCAGGAGAGGGAGAAAGGAAAAGGAGAGTGAGATATCTTCAGATTTCAGCTTTACTCTGGTATTCAAGTCCATCTATGTTGCCCTCAAAATTACATTTGCTAGAGCAGCTACTGCCTTCAATTTTGCTCACTGCCAGTTGAAATGCTGCCCTTCCCTTCACAGACAGCCATTGCTCTTGCCAGCAGCGTGGGAAAGATAGGCAAAGGAAAGGCAACTTCCAGGTGCCAAACTGTCACCTCCAGTGGCAAGAAACCTTGGTCCCAGGCTTCCATGGCAGAACTGCTGTCCTCCATCCCTGAGTTGTTTCACGTGATGCTGCTTTTAGGTCTGGGGAAAAAAAAGCCTTTAAAACATCAGACACAACCCACTTGAACAAGCACAGATTCACAGGAACTGCAGTCCCAGTATAGACCATTGTGAGTGGATAGCAAAAGTGAAGCTAAAATAAGCTATAGTCAGGAAAACATTCCAAGAGGGCTGTGTGGACCACGGGGCTGGGTCTGTGCTGGTGGAAGGTGATGTGGTGTATGGCGCTGAGTGATTCTAGCTTCCAAGTAAAATAAGTGTGCTACTGGTTCAGACACATGGGCTGAACAGAAAAAAACCCAAAACATTACAAAACAAAACAGTACAATACAATACAATACAATACAAATAAAACCACCAGAAGAAGGGCTAAACTGAGGTAAATAGTAGTGGCAAAGGATTAACAGAATCCACATGGATCCCTGGTCCTTCTTTCTCTGGTATGTGTGATGATTGTCTGGTAAGTTGCTGTGGCCTTGAACCACAAGTTCAGACTAAGAACTTCTTATTTTACCTTCAGGAAAGCCCAAGAAGGCAATTAGAGAAATTAGGGATCAAGCTGGAATAATTTGCTGGATGGTTTTACCATGTTTACCCCAATTTCTATACTGGAGGGAGAAATAGGAAGTGTCTATTTAGTCTCTCTCTTCAAGAAAGAAATTATCTCTTGCCCAATTTTGAGATGATTATTAAAATTTGAAGCATGTTTACAAAAGTAAAAATATAGAACAAGTAATTTTGCAGCATGTTTGAAGCAGATCCTGAGTCCTTTCCCAGTCACTCAGTCCTGGGATCATGCTGCAGGCAGCTCATGTGAGCAGCAAGCAGCAGCCCTGCAGCTCTTAGAGAGATTTCTAGAGGACAAGAAATAACAAAATAGACAAGGCAATAAAGAGATGTGTAATTGGCCAAGGAAGGATGCACTTCCAAAATTCAGGCCAGAATTAACTAAGTTCAGATTATTTGTAGGAAACAAATGACAGAGAGATGGCTCTCCCTCCTTATCTAAATATGTTTGCTCCAAACAGGAAGTATCTTGGAAAGAAAAATTAAGGTTTCTCTGTCGTAAATTATGGATGCAAATGCACTTTCCACTCTGCTGAACTGCTGTGGAAAGTGTGGAAGGGAAGGTGGTAATTTTTGCAGACCAGTAAAAAGGTAAGCATTGCTGAAAAAGGCGATGGAGAAATTGCCTAAGACAGAAAAGCTTAACAAGCAGGTCTGGAGGAACTGGCATCAGGTGAAAAGCTTAACACCTTGCTGGCACAGATGCATGTGGTGTCTCTCTCATATGAAGAGTAGTGGGGGAGTTACATCCTTCCAAGTGCTCTGAAAAACCATGTCAGGTTATTTGACCAGAGCATGCAAAATGAGGATTAACCCCTCTGCTTTAGCTCCTTCTCTCTAAAATGGGGCTCCAAATACCCCCTCTGTCCACAGGGCTGAAAAAAAGATGCTGTGAAACCTGTGCTGTGTGCCATAACAAGAAGGATTTGGTAATTTTTAACAGTTATCAGGTATGCAGGAGGTAAGACTTGAGTTGCCCACTACAAGTGAAAAGAAAAAAAACACTTAGACACAATTGCTCTTTGCTGCTTGGCTTGGTTGAGCTGAAGGAAGTCCTGAGAAAACGTTTTTTCCAAGGTTACCAAAGCTGCCAGTCTGTCTGCATTGTAACTTCCACTGGAAGATTGAGAGAGGGATGTGGAATGCAGTCCTGGGATCAGGAGGTTTTTAATGGCTAATGCATTTTCTGCAGATGTACAAAGTGTCATCTGACATATGTACACTTCACATGGATCTTATTTCCCAGAAATTGAAGTGTAACTGATAGGTTTCTGTGCCTCTTGGAAAGTGTGTGCCTTGATTAGAAAGTATTGGGGCCTTCAATGCCTTTAAGGGGGAATAGAAAACTTGCATCTTGGCAGAGATATTACGGTTGTGGGGTTAATTCGGCATCAAGAACTTAGGCAGGAAAGCGTTTTCTGGGGATTAGTGACCATCTGGGAGAAACCAATGGCCTAAGAAACCCTGATTATTAGTGTACAGACCTTGCTCTTACTCAAGGTCATTAGTAGGGCTGTAGGGTGTGGCTGGATCAGAATCCAAATATCTGTTAAAAGGTAGCCACTGACTCCTGAGGAGTCTGTGCCTGGTTTGCAGCCAGCTGCAAATTAACTGGTACTGGTGAAAAGGTTTTGAAAGCATTCAGAGACCATGTTTGAATGAGGGATAAAAGGTTTACTGATCATGTAAGCTTTAATCTTTTCAGTTTATATTAGCCATCAACGAATTAATTTTACAATATAGGCTTTACCCTGGAGCTCATTAGAAGCAGTTTTGCTGGTGTCAGTCCCCAAAGACGGTAGTACCTTGGTGTCCCAGATCTCTGCCTGGCATACCCTCTAGCAAAAGATGTTTCTCAAAAGAAGCAGAAATTGCAGGATAACCCACCCAAACAGGGAGATTTTATTGCATTGGTAAGAGATTTGAAAGTTTAAATTTTCAGTAGTTTTACAGACACACTTTGTGTACATACACATAGGTATGTGCCTTCATGTGGCAGAAAGAGGGAAACAATGTGATGACAATGAGGTCCACAGAGCTCCAGTCATTCTGGACCAAACCTCTTGGATTATTTCACTGTGTGTCTCTGGCTCCCCCAGACAGGTGATGCAGCACGGCTTTGGGTTTTTAAACAAACATCTTCCCGGTTTTTTTGCCTTTATCTTGAAATCCGGAGCTGAGGCGGAAAACGCCTTGGGCTCATCCTCGGCTCTTCAGTGCTGGGGAAGACTGAGGGCTGGACCCGGGGACGTGCGGAATAGGGCGGGAAGCGCAGGCCCGGGTTTGGGCAGGGCCGAGGGCAGGGCCAGGGGTCCGGGTCAGCCCCAGCGCCCCAGCGGGGCCGCCCCAAGCCCGCCCGGTGACCGGTGACGTGAGAGAAGCACGGATGGCATTGGCGAGCGGGCCGTGGCACAGCCAATGGAGGCGTGGGGCGGGCGGGGCAGCGGCACCGGGATCTACCGGGAGCCAGGTGACGTCAGGTGCAGCACGGGTCACCATTGGCAGCGGGCCCCGGGCACGGCCCCGGGCACCGGGAGCAGCTGCCCTGCGGCAGCACATGAAGGTCCGCACCCGCAGAGATCCACCTGCAGCCTGCGGAGCAGCCCAGCGCCGTAGAACACAGAGACTGTGACCCTATGGAGACACTGCGCTGGAGCAGATTCCTGGCAGAACCTGAGACCCTGAGGGGAAGCCACGCTGGAGCAGCGTTCCTGAACCCATAGAAAGGACTCATGCTGGAGCAGTTTGTGAAGAACTGCAGCCCATGGACAGGACCCGTGCTGGAGACGTTTATAGAAGACTGTCTCCTGTGGGTGGGACTCCACACTGGGACAGACAATACATAATGAATTGATGACAATCCTCATTCCACGTCCTGCTGTGGGGTGTGTTCCTCAGAGTCTCCCAGAGCCGCAGCATGGCTCTTTCATGACTGTCAGGCGTAGGAGAAGGGTGACAATGCCTTCTTCTTCCAGCTTTTACAGAGACAGGAGGCAGGCATGGGGGCAGGAGTCAGAAGTGGAGGAGATCCTAATCTAAACCCGTTCTGGGCTGAGGGTGAGATCAGCCCTGGAGATGGAGCAGCTCAATGTGCTCAAAATGTCTCAGGGGTGTCACTTGGGTCCTCCCTTCCCCTTCTCTTCCCAGGGAAAGAGCTCACATATCTCCATCCCTCCCTGATTTGTGGCTTGCTCCATACCACATCTCACTTAGCAGCCCCACAGTGGTCTGGCCTAGGAACAGACACTGGCCATGGAGAGATGTGGGAGAGGCTGTCAGAGGACTGGCTTCTCCTGACATGCCAGGTGGAGACCAACCTCTGACTGTAATACGGAGTCTCTGTAGTGCACTGAGGAGTTTCCTGAGAAAAGCTCATGAGGGGGAAGAAGGGCTGAGAAGCACAGGAGTCACATGCATCAGGGGAAGTTTGTAGCTGTTTAATGCGGTGGTTTTCCAGAACAAAACCATGTCAGTGCTGATGGGTCAGAGGTGGGACATGAAGTAAGAAGGGAGAGCAAGCTGTTGTTTCTGTGTGCAGAACCAGGCCTCAAATGATGAATTCCTGGGTATCCCATGCAGCCTCGTTACCCTTCCTGCAAAGGGTATGTATGAGCTGGGCTGACAGTCATGCAGTTCACTCCTACAGAGCTTTGCTGCTGCAAGCCCTGGACCAATAAATCCTACAGCAGGTGATGGGAGGGAGAGCTCACCTGCGCTTCCACCACCAGAATCCCCCAGCAGAGGCTGTGGCCACGAGAAGCAGCACTGCAATGGTGATGCTGACGGTTGGAGCTGGGCTGCCGTTTTCTGGGACAAGGATAGGAGAGGGCGACTGTGAGGGTGGCAGTGCCAGTCAGGAGCTGTTCCTCACAGAGGCAGTGGCTGCTATCTGCAGCCTGCACCCCATCCCCCACGGGTGTTCCCTACCCCATGGGATGAGGAGGCTGCGGGTGCCCAGGCTGCGGTGGCGCACACGGCAGGCGTAGCTGTGCCCATCACGGGGGGTCACGGCCAGGACACTGCGGAGCTGGTAGGTGAGGTCAGCGTTGGGCAGGATGCTGCTGGTGTTGAGTGCCGGGCCCGGGGGCACCTCCTGCCCATCCCGCAGCCAGGCCACACTGATGGGACGGGGGTAGAAGCCAGTGACATGGCAAACAAGCAGCAGCTGGGCTGGGCTGGGGGTGCGGGCGAAGACCGTGGCCACGGGCAGCTCTGGGGAATGAGAGCAAAGGGGTGGGGCAAGGCTGGGCCCCAGTGTGGGGGGCTTTGGGGTGGCTGTTGCAGGGTCAGGGTGGTCTCACCTTGTCTCTCCAGAATTTCCCTCCCATACTTCTTCAGGGTGAGGAAGTTGTTGTGGCACATCCAGGTGGAGAGAAGGTACTCCAGGAGCACTGTGACGGACTTCTGCCTGTTAAGTCTCTTGCTGACCAGATCTGCCACCTGGGATGCTCGCTGGACTTCCCAGTGCTGTTTGTCTACCTCAAAAGCTACGAGGTCTCTGCCACCCCAGCCGACATTCAGGAAGCTCTGTCTTGTCGTATTGGGGTACAGCACACAGCCTGCACGGGACTGGACCACCAATGGGTCTGTCAAGGGCAAAGCCAGTGGAGAGGTCCCGTGAGTGTGTGGAACGTGGGCGGCATGAGATGGGATGTGGCTGAGGGCATAAACAGTGCAATGGGCAGCAGGGGGTAAGGCCATGCTTCAGGAGACCCCAGACACCCTGCAAGCCCTCAGGCCCCTTGGAAGAATGGAGTGATACCGGTGTGGGGCGCTTGCTTAAAAAGAATTCTGTCCCCCAAAATATTTGCCCCCAATTTTCTCTTTCATGATCTTTGCTGTGTCAGTCCTGCAGCTCCAATAAATTTGGTTGCAGTTCCCTGACATACAGAGGGGTTGCTTATCCTAGATGGCAGAAGCCCCAAGGGGTATTTTTGGTCTGCTGCTCTACCCACTCCTGGGCATATGCCCCAGCAGCTGCAGTGTTGCAGGAGCTGTTGCACCCTGTAAGACCCTCCCAAACGTCATCCTGGTGTGGAGGAGGCTGCAGCCAGAACGTGGGGAGGAGGACTGGGGCTCTAGCAGGGCTCATTCCTGTACTCACAGTGCTGTTTTGTCTGCTGAACCATGTCGTGCACAAATCGGATCATATTGCGGAGACCAATTTTGTACTGGGACATCAACTTTTCCCCCTCGCCTTCAGCTGCAGCCTGGCTGACCCACGGCCAGTAGAAGTGGATGCTCCAGTTGGCTGGATGCAGTGCTATGATGGGTATATCCTCTACGAGACCCACGCATGACACCTCAGCAGAGCTGATGTTGGCAAAGAGGCCAGTCAGGAGGTACTGGATAACCTCTGGCTGTGCTAGGAGAGAGGACGGAGATAGGAAAAGGTGCAAGAAGGAGATGAGTGGAGGCACTAAATGGGAAATGGGAAGTGGAGGTACTGGAGAGGGAACAGGGGATTCAGACCAGATAATGGCAAAGAAATTTTTTAAGTGTGGGGTAGTGAGACACTGACACGTGTTACCCAGATGTATGGTGGACGTCCCATCCCTGGAAGCATTCAAGCCCAGGTTGTTTGGGGCTGTGAGCAGGGAAGATGTCCCTGGCCATGGCAGAAGGGTTGGACTGAATGGCCTTTAAAGGTCCTTCTCACCCCAAATCATTCTGTGCTTCTATGATTCTTTGCTCTTCATCCTGCTCAGGGTTGCTTTCCTGTCTGAACTTCCTCTGACTTCACTGCTCTTTTTCCTTCTCTATTTTACTTTCAACAAAGTGGTTGTCTCCTGCAGAGGATTTTAGGCATTTTTCCCCCCCCCGTGCCATGCCTCCCTCCCAGCCAGAGCTGCTGTCTGACTGTGCAGAGCAGATGAAGGGGCACCCTGCTGCTTGTTTGGGGTGATGTTTCCCCCCAGGAGAAGCACCTGTTCCAGGACCTCTATCAGCCAAAGACCTGGACGTGGTACAGAGGATGGTTGATAGGAAAGGGCATTTTGTCCAGGTTTGGGGCTCCCTGATAGGGCTGGGACACCAGATCAGCCTTTGTGTCTGATGCTGCCTACCCCGGAAGCGTAAGGTCTCACGAGGTTGTGGTAAAGCTCTCCGTGTGACAGCAGCACCCAAAACTCTGGCAGGTGCGGCTCCCTAACGAACGCGGGGCTGCTGCAAGGGGCCCTCAGCACCATGTGGGGCTGAGATCCTCCTGGCATCCCTGGGCTCCCTGCAGGGGGAGGGCACCTTGCAGGGAAACTCAACACCCAAGGCCTGGCTGGGGACCACTGCTGTCTCTTCTGCCTGTGTGCCCAGGGACCTGTGTTGGAGCTGCTGGGGCAGAAGTCCTGAGCTGGAGGCAGGAACAGAGAGGGTGGGCAGGGACAAAGCATATTTGGGTGGTGCACGGTGGGAGGTGACCCTCTGATGGTGGGAATCATCTGGGAATCACTGTGCCCCCATATGGCACAGTGGCCTGGCTACGCCTCCCCTGAGCAGAACTTATGGGGTCCTCTGACAGGGCTGGGGGGTGAGAGCAGTTGAGGTGAGACGGGGCTCCCACTTACCCTCTGGGTCTGCCCACATCCTAGGGAGGAGGCTCGGGAGAGAGAGGAAGAGGAGGAGGTGGGGGGGCTGCATTGTGCATGCGGCAAGGCTGAAGCAGCAGCAGTGACTGTCGGAGGAGAAAGAACCTGTGGGACCCCAAGCTTCAGCCCAGCCCAGCAGCCACTGCGGTGGCTCTGCACCAATTGGGGAATCAATGTAGCAGGGAGGAGCTCAGAGGTCCCGAGCTGAAGGCTGGGAACGTATGGGAGGGACAAAAGCTGAAGTAAGGTTTTGAGCACCAAGTGCCGTGACAGGCTGGGATGGGGAAAAGCCCAGCCAGGAGAAGGCAAGGAAAGAGAGTCCCAGGAAACAGCACTAGGAAAAAAAATATTCAAGCATCTAAGCTGGGTTTTCCTGACTCCCCCTCCCCACCAATATTACTATCCCTCTTGTGGGATGCATTAGCACCAAAGCAGGTGACGATGGCTTTTGGATTTCATTCCTGACTGGAGAAAGATGGTTGCTGTCTTTTCAGCCTCTACACAGGGAGAAGGGATTCTTTGGGACAACCCCTCCTGCTCCTGGCACCTCCAGCTCAGGCTGCTCCTGCATCACTTGTCTAATTCTGGGGATGGGGCTCCCAGGAAGGAGCTGTTCCACCTAGTCCCAAGCTGTAGGACTGCTCTAAACACCTGGGGATGGGCCTGGCAACTCCCCTTCCCACCAGCTCTGGTGTAGAATCCAATTCCCCACCCCAAAAGCCCCCTGTGCATGGGGACAAAAATGGTGGGAGCCATCTCCCTGCTCTAGCCCCTCCGGCACCAGTGTCCAGTGCTGGAGGGATCATGGGGTGACCAGAGTCAGCCTCCCCCACAATGTCCCCACTCGACTGCTCCTCCCTGATTCCTCCCATCAACACACAGTTTCTCTTCCCTTTTTTGGGTTAAGCCTGCGCTGGGTGGGGGGAAGGCAGAACTAAAACCACAACCAAGGGCAAGTCTGAGGGGTGCATCTTGGTAGCAACCAAACACTGAATACTTTTTCCATGGAGCTGTCCCAGAGAGAAGTAGGGATGCTGTGGTGGCCTGGTGGACCCAGAAATGACACCAGCTTCCCCAGCAGCATGACACAGGGGATGTCCAGCTATGCCACCACAAGGTCCACACCCCTCCCACTAGTCCTAGGCCCAGAGGAGAGTGTTTGGCTGTCAGGATGTCAAAGCACAGCCATGGGGCAGCCAGGGAGGGAAGACACAAGGGGCCTTTTATCTCTGCAGTCCTGTGAGGTGAACACTTGTACCCCATGGTCTCCCCTGAGATGACTGCTGGTCACTTCTTGCTGAGCAGCTGAGAGGCCATTCACAGCCCTCTGTCCTGTGCAGGAGCATGTGACACTGTCGGTGTCTGCTCACAGGACAGGACCAGGCACCTGGATTGTGTGGGTGGTCACAATGTGTTCATTGGAAATTCTTCCAGATGTCTCCCAGTGTTGCAGTGGATCTGTTTTAAAGTTCTGCTTTAGCCCTTCTACTTCTCTACTGAATGTACTTCTCATGTTTGGAGTTTTTTTCACTTCCTTTTTTGCTTACAACTTCTTCCTCCTTCATATTATCACTTCTCTGGTGTGAAAATTACCCAAGGGGGCAGGGGGCTGTTGGTCCACACAGACCATTGGTCCTCAGAGTTCTCTCAAGTGATCATGGTCCTCAGAGTCACCCCCAGGTTACCACTGGTCCTGACAGTTCCCTCAGGTGATGTTGGTCCTTACAGTCCTCTCAAGTGATTACTGGTCCTCACCTTCCCCCTGCCCTGGAGCACTATAGGACTTTGAAGTTCTCATGTGGCCACTGGTCCTCAAAGACCCCAAAGGTGACATTGGTCCTTGTAATCCCCCTGAGGTGGAGGCTGTAAGCCCCAAGTCATGCCTGGGTAAGTTGGGTTGGGGTTGACAGGGATGTCTCTGGGTGCCATACTGGGTGGGTGGGTGAGCAGCAGGAACTGCTGCACTGGGCTGTGATGAGGTGCCTTAAGAACCCTCTAAAAATGCCTGGGTGGGGCATGTTATTGTCAGATCTGTTAGAGGATGTGAGCAAACGCTTGCAGACACCTCCCTGGTATCAGGTGTTTGTGTGTGTGGTACTATAGGGTCTCTTGAGAGGTCATTCGCATGAACAGCTTTCCTCAACAGGCTTCCTCACTGGCTGCACCTGCTTTCCAGGTCTTCCCTGGAAGTCATGTCCACAGCAAAGAGGTTCATCTGTCTGTCCCAAGTCAGCAGGGGCTGGCAGAGGCTTGGTGTCATTCCTCTTGCAGCAAGGTCCGTGAGCCCTGTGATGCCAGCAGGCTCTGGCTGCTGGCTGCTAGGGAAACGCAGTCCTCACCCCAGCATTGTGGTTTCCAGGGTCTAGCCAGGGGACAACAAACACCATTGGATTTGTGGTGGATATTTGTGGTGGCCACAAGCCAGCCAGATTTTCTGGCTTGCACATGGCTGCCAGATTTATCCCAGGAAACTCTGCAGGAAGTTGTCCAGTGAAGCCAAACATTTTGAAGCTACGTGTTCAAGTTGGTTGGGAGCATGAATTACCTGCCTTCCTGTGTGTGTGTGAACTCTGCTATCTTTGGTGGGACATGGGCTTCTTTTGTCTCCTTTATTAGGAGCCTTGGGGTCACTTTATCCCCATGTGCACAGTTGCTTATTTCCATGCAATATGTGAGAACATGTTCATATATGCACAGGCACATATGTACTGTTTTTTCCCCATGCCTTGGTGCTTTCTGCAATTAGTGTCAATAATTCAGCGGTGTTTCAGCTTCTATATGTGGCTGATCAAAACCTCTGCAAGTCCATTCAACAGCTAAGGAAAGGCACATAATCTTAGTGAAAATATGAATGGTTTATTTCCTTTTCATACACATCTGCAGCTCCCGCACATTACACCAGAGTTTCAGTGTTACTCAGAACTTTGTAAAGCCATTTATGTCCAGGTTCTTTTAGTCTGTGTGGAACAGTTCAGTCTCAGCACAAATATTTCTGAAGTATGGTTAATAAAGGCATTTTTAAGGAAAAAACAGTACCCCAAAGTGACAGTAGAAGGGGACAGCTTTTCACCTTCTGACAAAACTGTTACTGAAGCAGAACCAGGGGAATTTGCCATTGGGCACTGAGGTGCCCTAGAGCACCAGTGGGTAGACAGGTCAGTGGCACAAGCTAAGAGATGATCACGTGAGGAGGTCTCAGACTTGCATTTGTGTTGGTTTAAAAAATTCAAGTGAGTCAAAACCTCAGGTTTCTCTTGCCGTGTTTCTCTTGTGCATCTCTGAATTGAGTTAGTCTTGCAATTGACAATGCCCAGAAGTTAGGTGAAGCAGAAAAACATAGTTCTTCTTGCTGTGAAGGCAGTGGGAGGGGATGGGGACTGCTGGCTCCCTTCTGAGCTAAGCCTCTTTGCTCAGGATGGAGTTCCTGGACTCTGATTCCTGCATCTGCTGGTGCTTTCTGAAATGAGAGGGAGACAGCTCTGCTCAATGGCAGAGACCTTGTAGGAAGTGCAGACAGCATCTGACAGGACCAAAGCAAGAGCTTTGCTGCTCAGTGCAGAAATCCCCTGGGCATTTCCACTCCTCCTCTCTCACTGCTGTTCCGAGGGGCAGACAGGGACTCACCTTTGTCTCCACACCCAAAACACTGTCATGGCAGCTATAGCCATGGCTGCAAGCAGCCCAGCCATGAGCCCTGTGATCAGCACCACTTCTGAGTTCCCTGGGAAACATAAGGAGAAGCTGCCATGAACTTTCTGGGCTTTGCTCCATCTTGTGGGGCAGGGTGGCCTGCACCCCACGGGTGTTCCCTACCCCATGGGATGAGGAGGCTGCGGGTGCCCAGGCTGCGGTGGCGCACACGGCAGGCGTAGCTGTGCCCATCACGGGGGGTCACGGCCAGGACACTGCGGAGCTGGTAGGTGAGGTCAGCGTTGGGCAGGATGCTGCTGGTGTTGAGTGCCGGGCCCGGGGGCACCTCCTGCCCATCCCGCAGCCAGGCCACACTGATGGGACGGGGGTAGAAGCCAGTGACATGGCAAACAAGCAGCAGCTGGGCTGGGCTGGGGGTGCGGGCGAAGACCGTGGCCACGGGCAGCTCTGGGGAATGAGAGCAAAGGGGTGGGGCAAGGCTGGGCCCCAGTGTGGGGGGCTTTGGGGTGGCTGTTGCAGGGTCAGGGTGGTCTCACCTTGTCTCTCCAGAGCTGCCCTCCCATACTGCAGGAGCACTTCCATGTCATCGACACAAGTATCGTTGAAGATGATTTCCACCAGCTCACTCAAGGCGGTGTAGTTCTGGAGAAATGACTGGACATACCGTGACAACTTGGTGTCCTGGGAGAGGGTCCAAGTGATGTTCTCTGTGTTGAAGCTGAGGAAATCCTCACCATTGTAAGCCACATAGGCAAAGGCCTGGGAGGTTCTGTTGGGGTACAGCACGCAGCCTGCGATGCACTGAACCACAAAGGGGTCTGGCGGGGCAGAGAGGAGAGAGAGGTGCATGAGGGGCTGGGATTGCTTTCCTGCACACATGGTCAGTGTCTCCTATACACCACCAGCACCATCAGATCACTCCTCACTTCCCAGCTGCTTTTCAGAAAGGGGATGCAGGGTGGGCACTCACAGGGGACGTCCTTTTGCTCAGCCTTTTCATTGATCAGATGGTGGAACTTCTGTAAATAAATCTTAAGCAGGTTATCAATGGTGTCCCAGTCAGCGTAGGGCAGGGCTGGGTGCACCCAGGGCTGGCAGAAGTGGATGGACCATGTGTGTTTATCAAGAGAACCAAGTTCGATGTCTTCCAGCAGGCCCAGCCCCTCCGTTTCCACAAACGAGGTGTTTTGGAAGGTGGTGGTCTGGAGCAGACGGATAGTGAAGGTCCCTACATGAGACAAGGGTTGACAGGGAGGAGATGGGACTGGGAGAAGAGGGCTGAGGAAAGTGTAGGAGCTGAGGGATGGATCCTTGAGGTTGCAGGGATCCACAGGTCCCCCATAAGCCCCTTACAGCCTTTACAGCCCCAGCTCCCATCCCCTGCACCCACCTGGGGTAGCCATTCCTGCTGGGGAGGAGGTGTGGAGCCAGGGACAAGGAGGAGTAAGGAGGGTGGGGAGCTGGGACACCCCTGTGGAGTCCCATGGAGGTAGATGTGCATGAGCCAGGGGTCCCACTTACCCTTGAGGTTTGCCCATGTCCCAGAGAGGAGGACGAGGTAGAGGAGGAGGGAGAGAAGGCAGCAGCAAGGGGCCTGCATGGTTCCAGCAGTGAGGCCCAGAGTGTGCAGCAGTTGGTGCAGCAGCAGGAAGAACAGACTGTTGAGAGATGTGGCCTCAGAGGTCTCCTCAGGCTGGCTCTGCCCGGGCAGCTCTGCTGGTGCTAATGCCCCTGGCAGCCAATGGGGCTGGCACTGAGGTTTAGGGGAGGGCTCTGAGGTTCCCACTTGGAGTGAGCTGGTGCATCCTGAGTACGGCTGTGAGTGCTGGGGGAATTTGATTGTCAGCAAGGTTGTTCCATTGCATGCAGGAGCAGTCTCTCATGGCTGCAGCAGCACCTTGACAACGAGTGATGTGGGTGAACTGAGTCCTTTGTTGTACCCCCCTTTCAGGTGGACGTGTCACTTGGCCATGTGCTGCATTCCTGATAGGAATGTCCCTTACTTGTGTCTGGCATATCTGGAGCTGCATAGAACAGACATTGCCCCCTGCTCTGCGCTGCCAGGTGGGTTCACAACAACATGGCTGTTTTTCCCATGGGGCAGGCAAGCCCTGTTCCCACCATAAGCCTCATGCCTGGGCTCTCTGTGCCCCCAGGCTGTGCACTGGTCCCATGCCTCTTTGTCACCTCCCAACCATCCCACAGCTAGGCCACTCTGATGATCCACAGGTGTATAAGCCAGTGATGTGGCAAACCTGCAGGAGAGCTGGGCCATGGCCTTGGAAAACTCTGAGGGGTAAGAGAGTGAAGGAGAAAAGTTTATGGTAATATCCCTTGACCCCTCAGCACTGCTGGTCTCATCCTGGGGAAGGGACTTCCCAGAGTTGAGGTGATGAGCACTTGCGGCCGGGACCACAGCTGTGGGGTCAGGGATGGCTGCAGGAACAGCTGGAGGAAGCAGTCCTCCAGGAGCTCTTCTTGAGGTGCAAGAAGTGAAGGGACTAGATCAGCTATAGTGTGGTGGTCCCAAGAGGAAAGAGGCTGCAGGGCCTGGAAAGACCTGTTTCCCACTGACAGTCATCAGACTCCTGGAGCAGTGGCAGTTGGCTGGACAGGATCTTCAAGCTGGGATGGGGATGGGATCCCACCATCAAGCCCATTCCAGGGAGTTGCAGTGGATATGCACCTTCCCCCTTTCCATGGAGCTCTATCCATGCCATGGGGCCTGGGAGTTGCTTCTCTGCTTCCCTGCACCTTTCAGTGTAGGGGAGCCTGAATTCTGCCCTATATGTCCCCACAGGGAAGGGCCTGAGGATTGGCTGCAGCCTGGTGCCTTTCCTTCCCACCAGCTTTGGTGGGGAATCTGGTCCGCCTCCCCAAGAGCCCTCTCTGCATGGAAACAGAAATTGTGGGAGCCTTCTCTCTGCTCTGTCCAAATTGGCAGCAGTGTCCAGTGCTGGAGGGACAATGGGGTGACCAGAGCCTGCCTCACCCTACAATGTCCTGCATCCACTACTCCTTCCTCATCTGCAGTTTCTCTCTCCCTTTCCTGGGGGTGCCCATGTTAAGGGCAAAAGCAGAGCTGAAACCACAGCCTAGGGGAAGTCTGAGGTGGGGTGCCCTGATAACAGTCACACTCAACAGGGGCAGAGGTATCCATGTTGCCATGTGACCCTTCCAAGCACAATTGGGAGTGTCACCATTTTTGGTGTCTCCAGCTGTAGGGACATTGGCAAAGCCCATAAGGAGCTGCTGCAGACTGAGCTCCAGCACCACATGACACTGAGTCAGACATCGGGACAAAAGGACACCAAACCTTTTCCCTTCCATGTGAGACAAGGGAGTTAAAAATGTAGGGATTAATTTATTAGGAATAGCTAACTTGGAAATGTATATTATATTTAGAACATATTCCGCCTGGTAGAGAAATGTATATAGTCTCTGTAACCTCTGCTATGCTTTCAACAGTGGATGAACATCTGCTAGCTGTGATAGCAAAACAGTGTGAAAGAATGCAGGACTTTTGTGACAGGAAGGAGTTTTAACCCAAACACAGGATGAAAGAAGGCAAGAATGCCAGGAGACTGAGATAAAAGGGTTGGTCAGACACCAAAACTGGCCAGGACTAGTCTTGTGGCTTGGACCAGGGGGCCAGGGAGCATGCATAAAGAGGAAAGGGGAAAAGTTCAGATGCAAAGAAGAGCTTGGAAGCCTTGATCAGAAGACCACTGGTGACCCCCGAACTGGGGAAGTGCAGGTGCAGACAGGACTGGTGGCTAATTACCACACGAAGCGGGGCTAGGCAGGGCCAGGGAATGAAGATGCATTAGTCATATTGCACAATCCTAGTTCACAGAGAATAAATCAGGAACGATTGCCACTTTCAGCACATACGACTCTGGGCTAAGATCCCACATACGCCCAGCTGCTGGATTTAATACTTATCTAATGCATAATTACAACTTTAACGAGTTGTGGAGTCTTCTGTGTATCACACAGAGCTGTCCCAGAGAGAAGTAGGGATGCTGTGGTGGCCTGGTGGACCCAGAAATGACACCAGCTTCCCCAGCAGCATGACACAGGGGATGTCCAGCTATGCCACCACAAGGTCCACACCCCTCCCACTAGTCCTAGGCCCAGAGGAGAGTGTTTGGCTGTCAGGATGTCAAAGCACAGCCATGGGGCAGCCAGGGAGGGAAGACACAAGGGGCCTTTTATCTCTGCAGTCCTGTGAGGTGAACTCTTGTCCCCATGGTCTCCCCTGAGATGACTGCTGGTCACTTCTTGCTGAGCAGCTGAGAGGCCATTCGCAGTCCCGTGCTGATTCATGTGACAAAACTCAAATAACATGCAGCCCCTGTAGGTCAAGATGAGGTCTAGTGTACACAATCCACTTAGATCTATTCTTATTTAATTTCTCCTTACTGCTGGAAATAATTACTAGATACAAAATTGCTAAATCCCACAAATTCCACAGGAGCAAAGAAAAACTCAAAATGGAAGGGTACTCCCCCCTTTCAAGATGGCATCCCCCACAGGCAACCATGTTTAGGGAGACAAAGGGAAAATAGGATCAGCCTTCCTCCCTACTTATCTCTACATCAGCAAAGGCAGCTGGCACGTTCCGAGAGGGGATACTCAGCAAACAGAACTCATGGAGAGACTTTGCCTTCATTGTGGCAGAGAAGCAGCTGGGCTGGGGTGACTTGGTGCCTTCTTGCCTCGGTTGGGCACTGCTGGCAAGCTATGGGCAACTCAGACTGGAGCAGGGCCACTGTTCTCTCTGGCATCGTGCTGCTGACAAACACTCCTGGAATTTGCCTTATGGCAGCTCAAGATGCAAGAGATGAACAAAAGGGAGGGGGGAAAAAGAAAAACCAACAGAAAAACCCAAAGCAAAGATTCTGCTTTGAGCAAAGACCACAAGGCAAGAGGGGTCTGCCTGCAGGACCCCTGACTTTGAAAAGGAACTCCAGCAACCCCTGTCCCTCGCATGTCAACTTCCAGCCATGGCACTGGATCTTAAAGAAACAGTAGCAAGTTTGGGCAGGATAGATATGGACTACAACATCTTCGGTTAGCCAGGACACATGCTCATTTGAAATAGACCCATCTGGCTTCCTTCCTGCCATTTCCCAGGCTCAGCTTCCCCTCAGACTTCCCTTGCTCCTTACACTGCAAGTCACACTCAGTGCCACTGGCCAAGCACAAGGGTACAGGGTCTGTGCACAGTGTGGCCTCTTGCTTTGCCTGTGCTCCCACCTGGCTTCTCTGCGGACTGCAGTCCCTTCTGGGGTAGCCCTGGCTGGCAGGTGACCCCCCATCCTGCTGCCCACTCCCTCAGGAGGACTGGGGAGAGAGTCACAAAGGCAAATGTGAGAAAACACTCATGGGCCAAGATACAGACAGTTTAACAAGGGAAAGAAACTCTCGCAGGCAACACCTCATCACATCACATCACACTGTGGCCAAGGCTGGCAGGGAACTCTGGAGGCCACTGGGCCCAAGCCCTTGCCAAGCAGAGTCACCTGCCCAGCCAGCTGCCCAGGGGGTGGCTCAA